AAATATTAATAATTTTCATACTTTATATTGAACAACTGACTCAAAATTTTCAGAGTTATCAACAAATTAATGCTCAGTAGTTTTCTCAGTTAAATACTTCATAAAATTTCTGAAAATTAGAAGGAAAAAAATTTTCATAATCTGTCAAGATTACTGAGACAACCACTATTAATATTTGGCATCCATTGTTATTTTTCCTATGAAGTTTCAAGAAGTTAAGCACCTGTCATAAATAGAAATCTGTGTTTTTGCTTAAAAGATAAAGCAATTCCTATGAGTTAGAATTGAAAATACCTTTTTAAAAATTGTAAGAAAACACTCTTGTAAATGACTTTTCTCCTCAAATAATTTTTTTTGCCCCTTTTTTTTGCAGTTTTTAAGGGCAGACCAGACTGCCCATGCAGTTGCTGCAGAGTAGCAAAACCTACTGTAAATTGAATCTCAGCTCCTCACTCAAATTGCTAACATTCCACTTTCATCTAGCAATGTTAGTTGGGTTGCTGACATCAACTCAGCTAGAGCTAAGTAAGTGGAAATTGGCCCCCAATTTTTTTTATCAGACAAAATTAGTGTCAAAGGTAGGAATGCTATGAAACTGAAAGAAGAAATAGAAAATTATTGACTAATCTTGGACAGATTTAGCAATGCTCAAATCTAGGAATAAAAAGAAAGGAATGACATTTTCTTCTCATTGCTTATTTATTGAATTTGTTTTATTTCTTATTGAGATATAGAATATAGCTTAAAAAATCTCCAATTTTTATTTCCACCTGAGAAAACACCACTCAAGACTGATGTGAAATGACCCTACCACTTGTTCAGTAGAATGAAACAGAGAGAATAATGTCATTCTCTGGGCATGTCTCTCTATGGGATACTTTTGCTCTCCTTGGATTGCATGTCAACCGTGTGTAAAAGATGGCTCAGTTGTTTCAGAGTTAGCCTCTCCATGGGGAATAGAATGGAATAAAATAGAGTGAAATGATAAGAAATTTCTATGACAAGAATAACTTTTTAAAAAACTGTTTTATCTTTCAGACTTCTGGTTTTTATAATGATGAGTCCCATTTTGTCTCGACTTGGTCATGGGTTCAGCTGGCGCTGGGCATTCATAATGGTCTGGAGTGAAATGAAAGGGACACCAAACATAAGCATGGCCCTTCTGGTTGCCTACTCGAACTTTTCTGTTGGAACAGAAAGGGAAAAATCTCAAGTAAAGAAAGTTTCAGTTTCTTATTTGAATATTTTATAAAAAAGTGTTGTCATGTTTTCAAACTATGGTTTTGGAGTAAAATAGCTCAACCCTACTTGGGCTGTAGCTATCTTGGCAAGATTGGAGAGAAACTGGCAGGCTTCCTGTTCTCTTCTCCATTTTTAAGAAGCCTTAAAAATGGGTGCACTATGAAGATTCAAGGAATTAAAACTTATAAATCATTTAAAATAGTGCTTGGTATAAAATATCCAATGTTTTAAATTTTCTTTACTCCTTAATATTCACTCAGAAGAGGCAGAAATTTACTTAAAGTTACTTAAAGCCTGAGCTTACTTAAAATTAATTACTTAAAGCTCTATTGCTTTATATAACTTTATAAGGTCACTTGTAGTAATGCTGGGGGTGGGCGGGAAGCATTTTAATTATTAGGCATAGTATATCTCTAAGGTAGTATCCACAGATTGTCCAACAGCTCTTCCTCCACAGCATTTCAAGGCAAGATAATTGCAAAGAGTTCTGGGGGAAATTTTAATATATCTGCCATTTTCATTGTGCATGCATAAGTTTTATATAAATCCCAAGTGTAAAGGGAAGCATGCAAATGTAATCTTTACATGGCTAATTAAATAATAGCTCAAATATTTAAAAATACCAACTCTTTTAACTGTTTTTGAAACCAAATGATCTAATTTTAGATGATCTCCCTCCTCTTTTCAATCTATTTTCACCTGCCTGAATAATCAAAATCAACTTGACCAGTGTAATGGTGAACACTGCATATGCATCTGGGTTCTAAATTTTTTAGTTTGGCTGGGATTTTCTGTGTGGCTATCAAAAAGTTACTTTTTTCTCACCTCAAAGGTCCGTTTCCTCATTCTAAAACAGCTAATAATACCAGTGATTTGCTGGTAAGTGTTTAACAAGTATGTTCGTGTTGGGGCAGAGGTCATAATTTTCAGTATTCACTAAATTTCCGTTTTGTATTCATTCCCATCAACAGAATACAAATCTGCCCATAAGCTTCCTGAATATTCAATGATTAGCTCTCATGAGCTGGTAAGAAGAAAATCTAGCACACCATTATCTCAAAGGGTTTCTATGAGAAATAAAAATTATATGTAAAATTCTTAGGACATTATCAGATAATAAACATATATCAAATATGAGCAATGATGATTATAGTAGTTTTATTTATAATAATAAAAAAACTGAAAACAATTCAGAGATCCTTCAGCTGGTAAATGTTCCAATATACTGTTGTGGATCTGTACCATGGAATGCTACTTAGCAATGAAAAAACTGTTAAGGTCTGTAAACAAGTCAAAATAACACCTGGCATTTTGCCAGGGGAATGTTAGAGTTCGTAAACAAGTCTGGATGGTGCCTGGCAAAATGCCAGAGGGAGTGGTTTGAGAAGTAACAAAAGCAAGCCATTAAGTGTGGAGATTCCTTATTGGTTGACTGATGTATCTAGTTTATGCTAATTAAGATAAGCTGTGTGAAATGTATAAATAGCTCTGTTGTCCTACAATAAATGGCTCCCATTCCTGCTGTATCAATGTACACAAGTCGTCACCCCCCACCCCCCGAAAAAAAAATTATTCATACAAATTATTGATACCTTTTGAATCTCCAGAGAATTATGCTGAGTAAAAAAGCTCATCTCAAAAAGGACAATATTAGCTGATTCAAATTATATAATATTCATTAATGTCAAAATTATAGAAGCATGAAATAGGAATAAAAATAATGAAACATTTGTATTAATTATCCATGGATATATGACAAATGATCCCCATGTTTAGCTGCTTCAAAGAAGAAACATTTATTATCTTGATTTTTATGAGTCAAAAGATTGGTAAGATTCAATCCTTGCAGGCAGCTGGACTATAAAGAGCCTTGAAGCCAGCCACAGTTCCTTGTCACTGGGATCTCTCCATAGCTCAGTTCACAATTAAGTAGCTGACTTCCCTCAGAATGAGCAAACAAGAAAGCTAGAAAGAACACTTACAGTTCTGATTTGGGTTTCATTCTCAAACATGAATGAAGTATGCTCAGGAAGACAGAGAATCTCCAGAGTGGTTTCATCATGCTTGACATACAAATTTCTTACCTGCCATGAGCATCTATTAGCATCATACAACCTAGCTTAATTTACATTGGGAAATGCAGAATATATTATAGTAAACTATCCTGAATACTCATTTTGTATATTTCTTTTGAATTCTAGGTACTATTTCATGGAGTGTTGGTATGCTTAATTAATCTGATTATCAATAGATTTATTTTGCCGATGGCAGTCACTAAACTAGGTAAGCACTCCTATTTACTATTCTTAGTGAATAGAAAAATATTCTAAATATGCTAATGAAATATGCTAACAATAAAAAGTCCATGTAAAGATTAATCAAAGATTTCTAGCTGAAGATAAAATTAAATTTCTAGGTAAAGTTATATTGATGGTTCAGGCCAATAAGATTGTTTATTTAAAAGCATTAGTGATTTACATTAGTCTAGTGTATCTAAATCAATAGTATAATTCTAATTATTCAATAACTTTACAAGCCTCCTAGATGATTGGTACTACTCTTACTGGTAGTATTGCAATCTGAAGTCAGAAAAGATTTCTGAACTGAAAGATTCTATGTTAAAGTAAAGAGAAACGGTAAATAAGTCAGATAATATCAGAGTCATCTGTGCATCAAAATAAACAAAAAAAAGTATTAAATAAAATAGAGAACATAGCAGATGCTAAATTCCTGAGGAAGCTAGAAACTGGGTGTGTTTAAGAACAGAAAAACGTTTGAGGTATTGGATCTTAGAGAATAATGCAGATAATTCCTCACATATGTTTAACTGGCTTATGTGATTATGGAAGCTAAGTGCCATATCTGCAGCCTGAATGCCTGGGAACCAAAAGAGTGAATGGGGTAAGTTTCAGCCTGAGTTCAAAGGCAGGAGGACACCAATGTCCCAGCTCCAAGACCATGAGGCAGATAGAGAAAGTATAATTCTCCTTTGTTCTGTCTTTATTTCATTCAAGCCTCCAACATATTGAATGAGTCTCAGTCACATTGGAGAGTCTACCATTTTAAATATTATTCTCATCCACAAGCATCCTTACAGACATACCTAGAACATTGTTTAACCAAATATGTAGGCACCCTGTGGTCCAA